AGCCTCATCAAGAAGAAATTGGTGGCAATGATTGGATCTGAGGGAAGTTTAGAAGGAGGGATGGAAAAAAAAGGTAGATAGGGTGGTGGTGATGGCCAGATCTGAAGAAGGAGAAGAAAAAAATGGTGGTGATGGACGAATCTAAAAAGAGAGGATTAAGAGCTAGGACGAGTTTATTGTGGCAGGAGGAGGTGGTGGAAACGGCGATAACAATGATGATTCAATTAAAAAAAAGATGAGTTCATAGAAACAACTAAATAAATGAAATCTATTTTGGGTATGAGTAAATGCAAGGAGGTGGTTCATTATTGAGTCTCAAGAAGAAGAAAGTCGTGGTGGCAATAGCTGGTATGTCATAGTGGTTTGATAAGAAGAACGAGGGAGATGATCGGAGGATGTTGAGATAAGCGGCTAAAGAGAACAAAAATAATACGACCAAAATATGCTAAAACTGGATAGCCAACACATTCTTATTTTGCATGAAACTTCACTCTTTCGATAAAAACAAAATATAAATCAGAAATTTATAACTTTAAAAAAACGTAAACATCACGTATTTTCATACGTTATAAACTGTATTTGATATGTATACTCAATATCGTATATACGTCCAATTCATGTTTCACACAAAGATGAGGTATTAAATATTATTGCAAAGATTGAGCGCCCATCTAATTATTTAATTAATTGACTATCTCCTCCTATATGCATAGCTCAGTAAAGAAAACATATATATAGCAAATGATTCTTTTTTTTAATTTTCTTTATAGTGATAACTTTCACGTGATATATTTTAAAAGAATTTATATTAATTACCTAATAACACAAAAATATATATAGCAAAAATTCTTTTTTTAATACCATTATTTTTGCTTCTGGTGGTTAGAATTAATTCAGAGTGGTATTATTACACTGATTGAATGCTTTATTGGTGCTATCAATCCTGATGAGGTTCCATTCATTTAGTATTTGAAAAGATAATATCTGTGCAATGAAATAAAAAAAGTCCAATTGAGGTGATTTGATTTAAAAAGAAATAGAAAATGAAGTAATTATTTCCTAAATTGTGCTAATCAAATTCACTGAAGAATATAAATATTAATTAATTGCTTTTAGCGCAATTTAGGAAAGGAAAATAGTTTGACTTAATCAGTACTAGTCTTAAATCAATTAATTAACATAATCTCATAGAGTGTTAATTATTTATTTGTAGTGAGTAAATATAATGTTTAAAAAAAATAGTAATTCTTTACAAAAATACACACGGAGAGTGAAATTAGTTTTAATAATATATCAAGTAAATTTGACGATCTCTAACCATTACTGTTGAAGAAGGAAACTAATGATTGAAACATGTCAAAGGACTAGGTCCAACACAGTTTACTGATATTCATAAATACAAGTTAATATTCATAAATTTAAAAAATGTAAACAACACACACGTTCATACATAATAAAATTATGTTTGATATATATACTCAACGATGTATATGTCTAATACATATTTCACAAAAAGAAATAGAATCAAAAGAAATGATGTAATTATTCCTTAAATACTGCTAACCAAATTCAAGGAAACATAGAAATATTAATTATTTGCAAGAGATATTTACATTTTTTAGCATAATCTAAGGAAGAAAAATCATCTGATTTAATCAGCACTAGTCTTAAATTAATTAACTAACATAATCTAATGGAGTGTTAATTATTTACTTATTTCCGGTGAGTAAGATGTAATTGTATTTTTAAAAAATAGTTTCCCTAGAAAATTACATGTGGAGAGTGAAATTTAATTTCAATAATACATCAAGAAATTTTGACTATTTGTAACACTTTTAAATATAATTAATTCTTCTGAAATTGATTTGTTTTACTTTAAGTAA